TGTCGTGGGTTCGAATCCCACCTAGGGCAGCTCTTCTTCTTTTCTTCAAAGAAAGAAGGAGCTGTCCTGGGTGTAGTTGGCTTTGCCTTTCTACCTCGCTACCACGTTGGCGACACATGCACGATAACACAGTGTGAACCGACTAGTTTTTTTGCTCTCTTAACTACGCAAGTTAGGCACCCACGCAGTCTGTACTAGTAGACAAGAGTCTGTTGCAAATTTGTTTAGCTGTCGCTTGCGGACACTATTTTCTCGGCTGCTTATGTCATTCGCTGTTCATCTTCCCTGGCAGTCAGCTGAAGGGAAAAGTTGCCCTAATTGTGAGGTGTTGCCTTCCTCCCACTCTCCCCACTCTGATGTCAGTTTGCAAAATTATGCATATTCTTTTTTTGCTCCCAACCCACCCCCGACTATGTTTGGACTGTTGTCAACTTTGACTGTTTCTTCAATTATTACGTGTCCTGATCTCAGAAGAAAGCGTCCTGATTAGTGAGGTGTCCCGATCTCAGAAGAAAAAGTGTCCTGATTAGTGAGGTGTCCCGATCTCAGAAGAAAGCGTCCTGATTAGTGAGGTGTCCTGATCTCAGAAGAAAAAGTGTACTGATTAGTGAGGTGTCCTGATCTCAGAAGAAAAAGTGTCCTGATTAGTGAGGTGTCCCGATCTCAGAAGAAAGCGTCCTGATTAGTGAGGTGTCCTGATCTCAGAAGAAAAAGTGTCCTGATTAGTGAGGTGTCCTGATCTCAGAAGAAAAAGTGTCCTGATTAGTGAGGTGTCCCGATCTCAGAAGAAAGCGTCCTGATTAGTGAGGTGTCCTGATCTCAGAAGAAAAGCGTCCTGATTAGTGAGGTGTCCTGATCTCAGAAGAAAGCGTCCTGATTAGTGAGGTGTCCCGATCTCAGAAGAAAGCGTCCTGATTAGTGAGGTGTCCTGATCTCAGAAGAAAGTGTCCTGATTAGTGAGGTGTCCTGATCTCAGAAGAAAGTGTCCTGATTAGTGTGTAGTAGTATATGAACCTATACAATATGTACTCTATATACTTCAGCAGCGAATTGAGTCATTATAGTATTTGTGGTCCATCGGGAAGGACTTAATGGGACCCTCGCCCAAAAACACACCTGCAATTTTTGTTTCCATATAACCGCAATGGATGTATGCTATGTCAACACATTCACTGGATGTATGCATTATGTATGTCAACACATTCACTGCTCTCTCATGCCGTTCTTATGTAGCTACATACTAATGTACGTGTATACCATACTTGGTTACGAGGCTTAATGGGTTTAGACTAAGCGTTGAATGGGATGGCTAATGTGGCAAATCAATTACGTCGCAATTGGATGAGAGCAATTCTGTAATGTGATTAGTTTGAGTGGTCAATATCGACTGGTGTACACGCTGGCGAAAATTTATAATCGATAGTTCATCACGGCTAATTGGCTCCATATTCATAAATAGTACGTCATACCTTCATTATGCATGTCAGCAACAACTTGGTAACGAGGTAGAAGGCAAGGCAAGGCAAACAAGTCAACTACACCCAGGACAGCTCTTTCTTTTCAAGAAGACCTGCCCTATGACACTCTGCAGTCTAGGCGAGCGCTCTACCAACTGAGCTACCAGCTGGTAGGGGTTCGAATCCTCAACACAACACAAGGCAAACCTCGTGTCAACAACAACGAGGTAGCAGGGAAAAGGCAAGGCAACAAGGGTTCAAACTTAAATCAAGCGAAACCTTTCTATATTATTACGTGTCACCTAGTGAAAATGTCAAAATTGTATTATATACATACCTTGCACAGAACACCTTTGAATTTATGACTTTTTAAACCTTTTTTTAGGACACGCCACTAATCAGGACACCTCTCCCTGTTTCTGTCCTGATTAGTGAGGAACTAATTTATAAAATCACGCCTCTTCTTAATCACGACGCGTTAAAGAAACTGCACCCTTATCAAAATTATGACCCACGCTACGTACGCTTATTGTGATAATATTCATCCTTAGGGTATAAATACCGTATCCTATCCAGTGCTTGCCAGTGATATATGATACTGGTTTGGACGTGTTAATACAATTACTGAATAATGTTCTCCCCCTCTCGCCTCCTCCTCCTCCTCTCACCTGGCCAGCCTTAGTGTCTGTCTGACACATTTGTTGCTCTACTTCGCGTTCTCCTCTCTCTCTCTCTCCCTCCCTCACCTCTCCCTCTTTCTCTAACCACGTAGGATTTGTTGTGGCAAGTGACCTAGTCGTTTGAATACGGGATGAGCAGTGCATGTACCGTAATGTTCTACTTGATTCTAAACGTGCGTGAAAATGGCTAGCTTCGCTTGCCAATAATAATGCATTGCATCTGTTCAGTTTTACATAGTCAATCAATCACATTGATATGAAGTGGCACTAACCTGTACATACGTACATACGTACAGGCTTCCGTCTTTTCAACGGCAGACGGCTAAACGTCAGCCCAAGTCATCATCACCACAAAGTGAATCGATTTTCAACTGTTGGTACAGTTACGTAATCCTCGATTGATGTCTTGGACACTCTTTGGCTCGGTGAAAGGTCGATCCCTGAACTTCCTTCAACCGCCTTTCAAACTGGCGTTGTTGTTTTCATGTGGGATCCGCAGCATTATACACAACCACTGATATCAGTCCCTCGTGTTCCTTCAGAAGGATGCGCCGCTGGCTTCCTATTCGTAATTCTTGGAAGTATGTTCTTATTATCGCTCCCCACGTGGTTTATACCTCCACCTACTCGACCGCCTACAGCGTTATTGAGTGGGCGAGGTATCATATGCTCTCTTACATGTGTGGAGTATAGTTCATATAATGCACCCAGTGGGTGGGATATAGTACAGAGTTCGAGTGCTCTAAGTGGGTGTACATTTGTTTTGTGCCAAGGACACTCTACAAGTCATTCAGATGTAATTGAGGTGGTATGTATATAAGCTGGGAAGCTATAATTATGTATTATGTGTGCACAAGCATGAAAGCAAGCCTACCAATGTGGTTTAACTCGCTTCTTTTATATGAAGCTTTGTCACCACGAACTTGTTTTAGATCATACAATACACAGATAACAACCTTCCAAAGAACCTTGCTAATAAAAACCAGTATACATAAGCCACTCTATCCCACCAATAATATTTGCGAGTAGCCTTATAGCCTAGCGCACTATACAGCCACAGGCAATCTTCCATTATTCCAGAGTAATCTGATTATGAACTAATGAGATTATTGGTTGTCTTAAGAGCCTGTTTTTGTAGTAAGGATAAGTGGACAATTGAACTGCCAGTCTTTGGCTATCCCACTTCATTATCATTTGTTTGTGCAGCTAGCATTCTTGCATGTTATTATAAGCACACTAAAATGAGCTCTTTTACTGTCACTAACACCCATTGGTAGATTTTATGAGCGATTGTTGTATGCATGCAGAGCTACCGTATTATTTCTGTGGTTGTGTGCGTGACGCGTATTATTTTTCATTCTTGCACACTTTTTGACTATTGACGTGTGTATCAGAGGTGTTACGATGCTATCAGAGGTGTTACGATGCTAGTAGGCACACTGCGTGTTGAGCTTCATATACCTTACACCTACACACGTACCATTCATTGCTGATATACAGATACAAAACCCTTTGCCAGCGTGTGCAAGTACCTAATGTATGCATTGACACAAACTTACACAGTCTCTATAAACTCTAATTGAAGCACCGGATTTATACCTGTGCCCAAACATGGGGGAGCAAAACCATGATACCTTTCCAAGAAATACGTAATGAGCTTCCACGCGATGGTATGTGCGCACCTACCTACGTATGAAGAAGCATCCTCAATAAAGTGACAACACATTTCTCAGTGTCATGCAACGACTGATGCTTGGGCATATGAATTCCCGATGAAGGGTTTGCACTCACCAGATATCTAAATATGGTGTGATTTGCTTTCCTGTAGGCTGCTTGGCATTTACGTTATTGTCAAAGCAGCACCTGTGGTTTAAGAACGTAAACAAATGATGGACATGATTCGCTGCGTGACATTGTAGGGTATAAACTACGTCACTCGATCGATCGCTGTTTTCTCCACACCTGGTAGCTTGTCGTGATGTTTGTGCAGGTCCTTCGTTATAGTCTATCTGATTAAGGGGCGGATTTTGGGCATGGAATGACTGAAATGTAGAACGTCTCGCAAAACATCTGTTCATTGTTTGTGTGTCGGTTGCTTCAAAGTATTACATACCAGTATATACCATTGTTGGCACCCTTAGAATACTGGACCTATAGGCTTGTTGTTGCAATCTACTGTCATGGTATTGCTACCCGTTTTGGTACAATTCCTGCTGCTTGCAGCAGACTCTGTGTTCAGTCGATGAATCCAGTTAACATTTGATTATTGCAAGAATGTGCTGATGTGGAATTACATCTACAAACTGTTTTTACTTTTATCGTTGTTGTTGTTATCTACAGGCACAGTGTTTGGTAGACATTAGTGGAGATGCGGTACAACTGGTGAGAACATCTATTTCCAAGGACAACGCTCACACCGCTACATCCGACAGTACGGCTTCTTCACGGACACCCAACACTCCCCGATAAACTGTCTCAATTCGGACACCCTCGTTCCAATGGCAGGAACCTTTTAATTAAGGAGCAAAAACTGTAAATGTGAACTTGAATAACCCTGCTGTATAATTCATTCAACTTTTACAGAGCTCTAAAATACTGAGAGATTTTCTAAATATTTCTCAATGAATAGTTGTCATTGTGAAAGCCCCAGAACAATTAGTCATAACTATTATAATTGTAGGTATTTTAGCTGGTGTTGTAATCTTTAGCCTACAGGATGGCCATGGAGAGTTGCTTCTAGCTCACTAACCGATGGTTGGCACAGTCGCCACCGCCGATTGGTCGATTTCGCATGCGCCACGGTGCGCCTAGGTCGTTTTTGCGCGCGCAGGCGTACTGAGTCAGCAGTATAAAAGTCCAATCTGGCTCTGCAAAACGCGCAGGTCGTCGGATCGTGTGGCGTTTGATTCCTCTCAGTTTTCTCCAAGTGTGTGTGGAGCTTTTGTTTCCCCTACCGCCGAGTCAGCTCCGCCGGAAACAAAGTGAGTCGATAGCTACCTAGCGCAGTATTGCTGATGTTTATAGGACCACGACCACCTGTGCAGCATTATTGTTTTCCCTAACGTCTGTTTGCATGCACACAGAAGCCCCTCCGGACAGAAACGAGAATTCCTTCGCCTGCACAGCATGCACTCGGTCTCGTACGAATGCACACTGAGCCATTATCGTAGCACTATCCCTGCTTGTTACGCTACTCTTACGTGTAGTTGAATGCCAATACGTCTGACGCTCCGTATTCCTGTGCAGCAATGTTGTCGTACGCAAGACTGCTACTCAGCGGCCAAGCTGCACGGAGGTCGGGATACTGGAAACAGCTGAGGTGCTCCTTGCTGCTGTTCCTCGTCCTGACGTCGTGTAGAGGCGAGATGACTGCAGTCCAAGACCAGGGCACGATTCAACAAGGTATGGCATATACTTACATACAGCTAACTACCAGCTCGTTCCCTCCCCGCCGTCTGGACTCGCTGGCTCTGTCGTTCCCGTCTATAGTTAATAACTTTTTCGACCTTCATTGTGTTGCTGGTGTAGACTTACACTGCACTTAGCTCTGCCATTGTCCATGATTGATTGGGCATCTATATAGGCAGCTATTTGCAGACCATTTTTATCAGCTGGAGATACAATAATATGGTCCTCTACAAACAAAACAAAAATTCTTATGCTTGTTGAAATGCAAATTTAATTTTGCATTTCTCCTGTAGTTAGCAAGTGAGATCCCATCCGCACTGGCATAAATAATTGGCAAAAAATGAATTTGAGTCTTGGTTTACCATTGATGAAGGAATGTGTTTTGCGTGACAAAATAATCCCTTCCTAATGAGCTTTTGCCCTAGCAATTATGCACGTGTGGCAGGAATGCGGACTCCCACACAATACTCTAAGAAATGCTTGCACAAGAAGCACTTGCAGAAGCATGCCTGCCTGCTGCCTCTCCTATATATTATGTAATAGTAAGATGTGTGGTCTATGATAACATGAGAGCCCCTCCTATAATCTGGCTGCATTTCTAGAAGCCAAAGAATGGAATGAGTCATGGGTGCATGAACACCTGTTCCGTCCCACTGAAGTCTGAGAGTTTAACCAAGTATCCTTATATTATATAGGCTGGTTTCTGCTATCCAGGTTATTGCACAAGTTTAACAAATATGCAGGTATATAATCAAAGGATGCAAATATGGAGTTTCAACCTGTCCTGAGATAGGCTTTAGTCAGTGTGTGCATGCAGACAGGACAGAGCTGCTGAGATTGATACGTAAAGCCTTCAGCACTCCCAGAACAGTGCAAGAGCTGGTCTTTCCCTTCTTCTCAGTAGAGCAAAATAATTTCCAAGACTGACTCCTTGATCTCATTGCCAACGTACATATGCACTCCTTATGCAGTTGAAGTTCTAACCATTTTCCGTTGCATGCAATTAACCCTGGGTTTGCATTATGTTCCAGTTCAACCTTTATATATACAGAGGTGACCTTTATTCAGTGGTTAGATAATAGTTTAGCACCAGATTGAAGCTGAATTTAAACTTTTTTTTTATAGGTGTCCTTCATTCGCAGGTTAAGACACTCAATACTTAGTAATAGCACCTGATCTACAATAGAGAGATGTATATACTTTCTTGAGAGTGTCCATACCCAAGCGTTTGCTTCCTATGAAAGCAGATGGTCTGATGGGCATTCCAAAGACATGCATCCTAATGCACACAGCACAGCCTCCAGGTCAGGTTGCATTTCATCCCATTAGCAACAGTGGAATTGCATTACACGTCTGAAAAGGTAATCCCCTGTTCTTTAGGACTTATGCACTCCGTTATACGCATTCTTTTCCGCTTGCTTGGCGCGACACTAAATCAGAAACGAGACATGCAGATAATTGTTGTCCGTTATCCGTGTCCGCACTTAAAAACAACAAAAATTACTTAATTAAAGGGAATGTGTCACGCCCAATTATTTAGAAATGTTACTAAAGATAGAACAGAACAATAAGGCCCTGTCCAAGAATACGAAGTTTCTGTTTTTTAGTAACAGTTTCTAATTTGAGCACATTACATACTGCCACATTGCCTTTAATGTTTTGATGCGGAATTCCCTCCTACGAGTTCAAACAATGCTGTCATTCTTTGAAAATGATCACAGCAAAATTTTCCCTTTTATGTACCTGCTTGCTTGCATCTTAAGAATGTCTTGCATTCACTCGTTATTATCTGTAGGCTGCTAGATAGTTTGTCGATCGCCGTATTTCCCTCCAAAGAGAGTAGATATGGGACGATAATTTTAGTAGAGTGCGAACTAATTAACCGGTAATGCTGGGTTAAGGCTGTGTGAGGCGATGTGAACAATAATATTGCGTGACAAAACTTATGATGCATAAAAGTAGATTTGTTGCGTTGCAGTCACACACCTGTGCATTCATTCCTCTTTTAACTCCTTAAGACGTGGACATTTTTATTATTAACCCCTTTCTGACCATCATACGATGTGGCCATTTTTTGAGCATTCATGCATATTAACTCCTTAAGGATGTGACCATTTTCAAATTAACCCTTTCCAAGCAAAAGCCCTCCGATAATTTGCTACCATATTGAAATGGAACATTCAGCCTTTGACCTGTAATATGGCTGTAATCACTGCATTGACCTTCGACAAGGGTTCATTAAGGTGCATACGTATAATTATATACTTACAGACCCATTGACTATTAGCATTGACTTGAAGACTAAACCCAAATTACCGTTGTTTGTGCTTCTTGCAGAGGTGGGTGAAGCAAAGGCGGGGTTAATTAGCGGGTGTAGCGAGCCTACCTAGTCGTCTGAATGGAGCAAATAGACGGCATTGTTGTAATCTTTTATGAAAGTGAAACGTGAAAATCTCAAATGTATGGGCATAATGCAGGACGACCTGTGTCATCCCTATATACTAAGTACTACCGTACTTATGTGATTATGTAATTGTGTAAAACTGAATGAATTTTCGCTTCAGCCGCACTCGCTTGCCGAAAATGTGGTGCATTCGTTGTTGTTGTTGTTGTTGTTGTTGTTGTTGTACACATAGGGGGTGTACTGGTTTATGGTAAGTGTGTGTAAGTGCTGGCATGGATAGCTTTCCACAAGTACTATCCGTGAGATTTTATGGACCCGGCTATCAAGTTTTTCCACGTATTGTGTGATTTCATAGTCTCAAGTTTATGTGGGATAAGTACGTACCACACCAATGACCGAATCTTCTACAAATTCGCACTTTTTCCTCTTCCATTGAAAAGTATATGGATCCGACCGATCTCATGCTATGTGAGCTATTGGAACACCGTCCTCTCGTGTTGTTTGCTCGTGGTAGCATTCAAGGCAATTTTCAAAAAATGTGGTCAGGTGCCGCCTTAATGTGCAGTCTTAGCTCGTGTTACGTGTGAAACAGTGTGATGCTAAATGGCAATATGGGAAAGGCGGTGAATGTGGTATGGGGTAGGGCGGTGAATGTGTTGCGTCTAAACAGTGTTTTGGGCCAAATTTGCCCCCGTTTGGACCATAGATTGCTAGCAACATGGATGTATACTCAGAGTATGCTAGCAACATGGATGTATACTCAGAGTATGCTTGCAACATGGATGTATACTCAGAGTATGCTTGCAACATGGATGTATACTCAGAGTATGCTAGCAACATGGATGTATACTCAGAGTATGCTTGCAACATGGATGTATACTCAGAGTATGCTTGCAACATGGATGTATACTCAGAGTATGCTTGCAACATGGATGTATACTCAGAGTATGCTTGCAACATGGATGTATACTGGACCCGTTGACCACCAAATCTCAATATCACTGCACAAGTCGAGGCAAAATTGCCAGACTCGATGGCTACCAGGGTTTCCGGTCGTACTCTAGGTGGTCCTGTTTTCGAGCCATTCTCGTGTGCAGAATCTCCGCCATAAGTGGGAATCTATTGCTGGAAGCATTCCGTCTTGTACATGGAAATTCCAATGCGAAAACGTAACCGTACTCACCAATACTTGGAGTCTTTTTAACGGTGCTGCAACACTGGCCACCTAGGCAGAACCAATTACAGTGGAACGCATTTGCATAAAAGACGTGCTAGGACCACGAAAATTATTTTTTTCAGAGATCTTTCATTGTAGTACATGAAAGTATTATCACTGGATCAAAACAAGTGTCCTTTTAAAAGGTCGTTATTCGGAGTGTCCTTTATTGTAAGTTCCACTTTATATAACTTCAAAATCGGTTGGTCGATCTGGTTGGTCAAAGTTGTTTCTTCAAACTTTCAACTTGCTGCGTTGCAGTGATTATGCAATATATAGGCTCAGGTTGGCCTGGATTATGTAGAACAGGGAATGGCATTGTCTGGTGTTTGCTTCATTTGTAGTGCACTGAACTTCAAGTCACTACATCCTAGTTTAATTCCTGGTGTGTTAAAGATCTTTATGGGCGTGCCATGTGATAGCCGTTCCATTGTCGATCAATAGCACCATGTTTTACCTGGAAGTGAAGCCACGGAAACATGAGAAATGCTTGTTTATAGTTGCCACGGAAATTGGTTGCAAATATCTATTTGTGGATTCGAGACACGGAAGGAATAGATCCGATTGTGTCACGGTCGCGTGGCTGTTCAAAAGAGCTGTCCTGGGTGTAGTTGACTTGTTTGTTGTGCCTTTGCCTTTCTACCTCGTAGTTTACACATACCATTAGTACTAATGAGAAATCTATACACTTCATATATATGTAACAAGTTGTTTAGAACCTGTAATAAAAGTACCATACATTTCTTGAAGGGTATCTGCACCACACTGAATGAAGGTGTTTACTGTTGTTCTTTCGCCAGATGGTCGTAATTCACTCCTTACTTGGGGGAGTGGTTTTGATTAGGACAGATTTATGCTTTATGGGTAGCGTCTGACTAGCGTCAACCGATCACCCACAGATGATTAGTATCGACTTCCATTCGGCCGTTTTAGTTAGCGCCAGATGTCTTCTACTGCTGCTGTTCCGCGCGTCAACCCATGTCTACGGTTGCTTAGACGATATTAACTTCCGTTTTATTAGTGGTTGTACTCCTAGGGCCAGTGAAATGTGAAGCTTGTTTAATTACCGTATTATACGATGAAGTTGTATTTACGTAGAGCCAGTAAAATAGTTAATGGTGCTTGTCAGACTTCTTTACCTTCCTTCTTCGCTTTTTCACGTAACCTTGAATCGAAATAAAGACACGAACAGTACATCATTGTCCTTGGTCAATAGTAAATTCTTTAGCAGTGCACCGCGTATATACTTTATCACCACTGCCTCTTGTCTATGGCAGTATCTAAATTCTCGGGCACATGCATCGTGTATTCCTATTTCACAGGACTATTTCGACTTATAATAACCCTGTCTCCAGCAACTTGCTTTGAGTTCGAAAGTAGCGCATTCTTGTGACCTCCCCTGACACCGTATATAGTCTCACGGTAAAAGTACACGTTTGTATGCATACCAAGTCTGACATAAATCCCTCTTTGAGCTGTTAAACTCGTGTCAGTACCGATATTCATGTTTGGGTTTGTGAAAAGACGACCTCGAATCAAAAGACTGGATGGAGCGCTAGTTTGCTCTCATCTGTTGTTACAGCGCATTCTTTCGCCGATGGATGTGGATATTGCAGTATTGCCACTGGGAATTATAGCTGAAATAAGATAGCTACTCGGTTGATAGCCGGTATGCAAGTGTAGCTTAATATCCTAGTGCATACCTGCCTGTAGAGTTGTTATGCTAATAACATTGTGATCTATAGGCAGTAGAAGATGATGGTTTTGAGTGTTGGTGAAGTAACTGATCTTGTTGTCGGGCTGGAGAGGGAGCAAATGGTTGCACATTTTTCCGCTCTTTGAAGTTACTCTGTGATACATTTACCGGTTAACCCCTTGTCTCCAGCCATATCATTCACCTGTTAACCCCTTGTCTCCAACCCATTATTTTGTTAATCCCTTGCTTCTGGTCTTTCTCATATTCATCTGTTAACCCCTTTTCTCTGTTAACCCTTTCACGTCCAGTCTCTCCCATTAACCTTTTAACCCCTCTTTTCCAAGTCACTTGTTAACAACCTATTCTCTTTAATCCCTTTCTTCTTCCATTTCCCTCTCCTCCCCCTCCCCTCTCCTCCCCTCCCCCTCCTCCAGATTGCATGCTGAACTGGTTATTATCCCTGAACATCAGTCGACACTATGCAGACACCTACTACGGAGGCTTCTCGGCGCAGTTCCTGGACCAGCGGAGTCTGAAGTTAGTTTCAGATAGCAATCTGAGGGATCTCGGAGTCCAGGCATTGGGCCATAGAGTTCTGATCCTCGACTCTGCCAGCTCAGGTGAGACAGAGATGGAGAGAGGAGAGAGGGTGGGAAAAAGAAGGAGAAGATTGGTACAGTACTAATCCGGACACTCGTGGGACAGAAAGAGCACATTCTCTTTGCTTAGTAAGGTGGTCTTGTTGGGGAAAGAAAAGGTGTCCTTATTAAAGAGGTCTCCTCATTTCCTTAGAACCATATAAAAAGGAAACAAAATTTGGGTATTGTGTTTAACAGTGTAGCTACCCCACCTGTTCTACCCTTCACTTTTAGCAGGGTTTGGATTACTCTGTAATCAAATAAGAGTGATCTGCCCATAATAATAATATGTTAACCAAGCATTGCCTATTTGTATGTATCAGGTCATCTGACCATCTCTGTCCTTCTTCGTAAACTCGGCGGGTTCTTGTGCAAAAGTAGTCTGTTGACTAGCTAAAACCTGCCCCTGGGCACATTCACAAACATGTCGTCACAGAATACCACATTGGCATGCAAAGCATCCATGTGGTCTCTCCGCACAGCATTTTATCACTTTAATAGCATACAGATTGGCCAACTAATTTCACATGCTTCTGTCACCGCAAGAAAAGCCGAATTTGCGGTGAACGCGCGTGATCTGGACGCACCGCAGATCATGCATGCTTGGGGCAGCTGCCTCGCTTTGCATCAGCAACTTCTATATCACCAATAGATCATAGTCAACATGATGGTAGATACACTGAATGGCGCATGGTATATTAGTGATCATGTATTAACCGCGCATCGACCCATGAAAATGTGTGTAACTGAATCTTGTAGCCACTCGGAGCGAGTTAACTACACTACGTAAGTGCCTGTGGCGCCGTTTCCCCATGCAACCCATAAACAACTGTTCGTCGATCTTACGTAATGTCCATCAATCATATGTGAGGTATGAAGGGAAGGCAAATAGCACTTCGCCGAAGAAAGACGCTGCCCTGGGTGTGACTCGAACCTACGACACTCTCTGGCAGTCTAGGCGCAGTGCCTCAACACCCTGTAAGATACATACATACGTGCAGCTCACCAGACAGGGCACAAAATCTACTTCGTAAACAACACATTAAAGGCAACTCTTCGTCCATGTGCATGCCTTATAATTCATCGACACACACACCAAGCAATTAGCAAGCACCCAGCTCCTCTTCAAAATGCTTAAGGGATAAGGTATAGCGCGATTTTGCTCAATGAACTAAAAACACGTTGCGCCGCGTCACACAACTGCTCTCGCACCATAGCATATTGCGGAATTTTCTCCGCAGTGCGTGGTATGGGACGCATGTACGTGTGGAATCTAGTGCGTCCACGGCCTAACCGCACGTCCTCGCCAACCTAAGAAACGCGGGTGGTGAAAAAAAAAGCTAGGGCAGCATGGCAGTTGCGGATGCCCATGTGACCGCAAGGGCGCGCAGTTTAAGGACACGCGGAGCAGCCATCACTCGTGTTAACGTGAGCTTCGATAGACGAAGTTTGCAAAGCAGGTACTTGAAATGCTTCAGTAGACAGTAGAACATTACCTTCTACACACTTTATCATGTATGGAGCTGGGGGAGATCGTGTAGATAGTGGCGGCGCAGCGTAATGCTTTGTAAATTACGACATACGATGGAACGGA